GCTACTCATCCCGCAAACTGGTAAATCTGGTGCATTTCTTTTTAAGCATCATTGCCCAGAATTCTTGGTGGACACTGCTGAGCAATTCCTTCCTCTTCCAACTCCTTCCTGTATGTTTTCCTCAGTTCCTGTCTTGGCTTCCCCAGTCTCCAGCAGAAAACTCACATCAATAATGAATGCATCCTTGCTTTCTAAATGAGTTCAAGTAGATGAAAACTCTGGATAGCATACCTGGTGTTAGGAACATGGCTTTAATGTGTCCACTAAAGCTTCTTTATGTGGTGAAATTTAATCTCCATGGTGAAGTATTAAGATGGAATTTAATCTGTGGAGTTTAGAGGTGGGGCCTTTGGAAGGTGATTAGGATTAGATAAACTCATTAGGGTAGTGGCCCCATTTTTGAACTGCTGGGTTTCATAAGAAGAGGGGGAACACACACACACACACACACACACACACACACACACACTTCTTTTTCTTTTGCTATGTGTTACCCTAAACTACCTGGAGACCAACAGATCACCAGGAGGCCATGAAAGACCATTAGAAGATTCAGTCTTTCAGTCGAAACCTCTTTTCTTTGTAAATATATCCAGCCTCAGATATTTCCATTATAGTAATACAAAATGATTACTACACTTGGTTAGGTCAATTATGCTTTTAGATTCAGGGATGCTGCCAATGGCCTTCCATGTAAGTGAGCATAACTTACAGAAAATTCTTTGTGGCCTATGGACAGATCAGAGGCAAGAACTGGCCACTCTCAGGTATTTCTCACACAGACTGTGTTTTAGTAATGTGAATGAATGCTTTCAAATATGTTGGCTTTAGATGGAAACTGGCTATTTTCATTTTAATCTAGAAGTTCACAGTGAGCCTGTGTTCTCACAAGGCCTCAAAGGTAAGGCAGCTAAACTTTGTGATCTGCTTTAGCCCTAGTTATGGAGTCAACAATTCCTCCTTCACCTCCAATTTGTATGTGGAAACCCAAACTACCAATGTGACTGTACTGGACATGGAACCTTCAAGGAGGTCGCTAAGGTACAATGGAGTCATAGGACAGGTTGTAACCTGATGGGGGTAGTGTCCTCATAACAGGAAGAGATACCACATCTCTCTCTCTCTTTCTCTCTCTCTCTCTCTCTCTCTCTCTCTCTCTCTATATATATATATATATATATTCTCTCCATGAGAGAATACTGAAACAAGCAGTTGTCTGTGAGCCAGAAAGGGAGCTTTCCTTTACTAGAAACCAACACTGCTAGTGCCTCCATCTTAGATTTTCAGCCTGCAGAACTAATATGAGTTATCTCAGGATCAATTCTCCATTGCCTGTCTCCACAGCCAGTCACCTGAACCCTTCCCTAAGCCCAGGTTCTCCTCATCCTACCACCTGGCTCAGGTTTGACTCCATGATTGCTTGTCTGGACTGCTGTCTTGTAAGGGGAATGTTCATCTCATCTGGCCATTGTACACCTGAAAGATGCTCTATCTAAAAATTAAATAATACTACCTCACATGGTCAAGTGCTTACTGCCATAGGGGTACTTGATTCTTAGGCTATTGTCTATGTGCATGAGGACAGAAAGCTGAGTCTTCAGCTCAGCCCATAGGGAGTGGGAGCATACCAAGCCCCTATGGAGCACAGCAACCATAATACAGGGACACGTGACAGGTGAAAACAGAACGGAGAGGCACACTGATCTCAGTGGAGATGCTGCGGAGCTGCCCTATAGGAGTAGTTATTGTAGGGATGGCAGTGTCCTTGGAACACTGGGCCTGGGGTATAGGAGTATACCCCAGAGTTTGTCCTGCATGCTGGGTTCTCAATGCACACCCTGAGACCAAGAAATGAAGTCTCTGAGCGAAAGTAAATGGCTGTGGAGATAGCCACTCACTGGGAAACAGAAGAAGTCCCTGAGGACCTCTAATCTAAATCCTAATGAAACTGAGGATCTTAACTCAAATCTATGCAAAAACTGATAAACAATGTCAACCTGATAAAACTTTTTTGGCCAAGCATGGTAAAACAAAATTTCAAAACTGAAGACACTGAATTCCTACTGCAGCTATGCTGAGGCAGCAAGGTTACTGTCCGTTGTGGGATCTGCTGTCTCTCTGCTTTTATTTGTCAAAACCTGCTTCCCTAAAAGCAAATGGTGGCCCCAAAAGGAAGACAAAAGTTATGGGAACCCCTCTCAGCCTAAAAAGACATGCAGTGTGTTTAACTGAAATGGTGATGTGAAAAACAGATTTACAGGGATGCAACCTGTTTTTGGTGGAGGCTGGTGTGCGCTATGGGGGAAATGAATCAAACATCTTCAGTGCTGCACCGAGCATGCGCAGGGTATTTTGGAAACAGCTTACTCACAAATACCAAGGACTAACGGTTTGTTCATTCAAACCGTGGAGTTCACAGTTCCATTTTTCAGTTCTTCTATTCCTTTTCACAGGATTGGTTTACTTTTTATTATAGATCTAGCATTTTCTGCTTCACACATACACGTGTGTGTGTGTATGTGTGCATTTTTGTGTGTGTGTGTGTGTGTGTATGTGTGTGCTGGTATTGGGACTTGAACTCAGGGCCTGGTGCTGTCTCTTGGCTTTATCACTCAAGACTATCACTGTACCACTTGAGCCCAAGCTCTATTTTTGGCTTTTTGCTGGTTAATTTGAGATTAGAGTATCACAGATTTTTCTGCCTTGACTGGCTTCAAACCACAATCTTTCGATCTCAGCCTCTTGGGAATGTAGGAGTAAACTGGATCCCACCTCGTATTTTTTTTTTTTAATTGTTGCCCTATTATTTCCAAAACTATGTCTGATCCACAATTACATGAAAAGCACATTAATTTTGAGAACTCTATACCTTGTTTCTGTATTATTTGAGCTCAGAACTCCCCCTTCTACAATTATTTTAATCTGATTCATAAAAACACATTTTTGGGGCTAATTTCCAGAAAAATGTGCACAGAGTATATTTTCAGCAGCTACATGCCATTTTAGATATGGGGTTGACATTTGAGATAGATAAAGCCACGAGTCAATGTCTTTCAAGAGTGCATTCAACATGTATTAAATTATTTGAAATTTTACTGTCCAAAATGATTTGGATACCTTTAGGGTAGGTGTAACATTCTAGAACTCCAATTTTGTATCCCTAGGCCTCTGGAAACATTTGCTATGATAGCAGAACTCGGCCTTGCTCTTTTCTTTTCCTCTTCTTTCCTCTTATCTTCCTCCTCTCCACCCCCATTACTGGTATTTGAACTCAAGGTCTTGGGTTTACTAGACAAGTATTCTACTACTTGAATCATGCCCTCCCCCAGACTTTTTAAAATTAATTAATTAATTAATTTTACAGATTCAGTCTCTTGCTTTTTTGCCCTAGCAGGCCTCAGACCATGATCCTCTTACTTATACCTCCCACACAGCTGAAATTATAGGCATGTACCACCTTGCTTAGATAATTTGTTGTTTTAACTTTTTATCCCCAAAACTTTTAAGTATAAAGCCCAATCTTCCTAATTTTTACCTCCTGAATTGCTGGGATAAGAGGTACCTGCCATGTCCAGCCTTCTATCTTTGGAGGTGTACTGGTGTATTTATTTAATCTACAGTACCTCTTGTCTGTGGTTTTGCTATCTGCAGTGTCAGTTACCCAGCAACAATGGTGGTTGGGAAAATACTACAGGAGAATTTGTAAGTCTTAAACTGGGAGCCATTCTGTTTAGTGTGTTGCTCTATTTTCCTTACCCAGAACAAGAATCATTCCTCTGTCCAGTTTATCTATGCAGTATATGCTATCTGCTCATCAGGCACTTAGCTATGTGGGTGGGATTCTCTGTGGTAGCTTCAAGTGCTTGTGGTTAAGTGACCCTCATGGCATGCTACTGCTTCTACAGTCACATAACTTTTGTTATAGTTTGCTGTCATAATGGTTCTATTTTATTATGAAGTGTTGTGCCTAATTTATGCATAACCTTCATCACAGTATGCATCTGTGGGAGAAAGCACAGTTGGAACTGGTATAATCCATGCTTTCCGTTGTTAATGGAGGTCTTAGAATGTATTCTTCCTTAGAAGCAAAACAATCGTTTTGTTTCAGAATTCAGGTGTCTCACCATGAATTATTAACTAGGTTTCTGTTTTAATTATCATTCAAGTGAGTGAGTCCTTTATTTATTGTTCTCTAAAAGTTTCACTCAGTTATAAAACTTTTTACTTTTCTTAAGTCATGGAACTGCTTCGATTCCACGCATCGTAGAGCAGAGACCTGAAATCTCAGAAAGTTGAAATCAAAGGCCATTTTTTCCCCTCATAACATTTGAAAGGCAACAGGTGGCATCAAGAATTCTCCCCCTCTCCCCCTTCACTCACAGTAGAGGGTACAGACAATATGTTCTGCTTGCCCATTAGTAGAGCACGTCTTAGGCTTGCTGAAACTAAGCACAGCATGTAGTTGATCGCCTTATCACAAGCTAGAGAGTGTGTCCACTTCGCTTGCAGACAATACCCCACAGAGGGGCGTGTGGGGGGACCAAACGTACCCAGTATAGTCTTCAGCGGCTGACTTTATTTCTCAAAAGGCAACATACCACACCTACTGACCACTCAGCTCTAATACTCTGTATGAAAGCTTTGTGGCCAAGCTAAAAAGCCTTCTCAAATCTCCTTTAGTTTGTGTTCTTAAGAAGCTGCACAGCCCGCTGAGGTGGCAGGAAGCGAAAGGCTGGCGGGAGAATTCCCTGCGGAGCACACATTGTGGAAAGCAATGCATCCAGGGAGGAAGTGACCCTGGGAGGCTCATTAATTAGTAATCAGCACCCGGCCACCACCAGCGCCCAGAAACCAAGACCTGGCGCCGCGCTGTGCGGCGCGCACTCCAAGCCACCTTAGTCAGGACGGTGAGAAGTCTGTCGGTCCCGGGTTGCAGGGCGGAGTCTGAGCCCGCGATCGTCACCCCTCCCAGTCCCCATCCCCAGGGCGCCGGGACCTACCCAGCAGCAGCAGCCGGTGTGTCCGCTGCAGGTCGCGCTGGTGCTGGCGCAGCATGCGGTCGATGCCCCGGCTCACTCTCCGCGCCTCCCGGGCCGCCTCGCGCTCCTCGGCGCGCAGCTGCTCCGGCCGCCGGGCCGCTCCGGGTCGCGCGCGCACCACGCTCCGGCCGCCGCCCCAGGACAGCAGCGTCCCCGCCGCTTCGTCCCCGGCCGCGGGGGCCAGGGCCGGGGCCGGACTCGCATCCAGCTGTACGTCCTCCCCGGGCGACTCCGAGGTCACGCAGGGGGCGTCCCCGGGACCCCCAAAGAGCAGCGGCCGCAGACTGTAGCACAGCCCCATGGGGTCCCGGGGTGGCGCGGCGCGGCGCCCAGGTCCCCGCGTGGGCTCAGGTCGGGGTCCCCGCCGAGGGGTGGGAGGGCACTGCACTCAGACCCCGCGCGGCGCTGCGGGCCACCCACTGCGGGCAGGGGCGGTGGCGGGTCCGGGCCGAGGGTCGTCGCCTCTGCCCCTCACGGTCCCGGAGGGCCATGATGCATTGTCCGCTGGGCGCAGAGGCTGGAGGCAGCCCGGGCTGCAGATCACCTGATAACGCCGGAGCCGCTCCCTACCCCCGTTACCGTAAATACCGGGCCAGTCCTTCCCACCGTAAATACCGCCGCGCAACGGCTCCTAGTGGCCATAAACACTGCCCCCTAGTCGCTTGCCTGTACCTTAAAGATCGCCGCCACCTTGGCTGACCTTAAGTAGTGCTGTGGGAAAGGTGGGCCAGTGGCGCAATGGGTAACGCGTCTGACTACGGATCAAAAGTAGTGCTGTGGGTGGAGACCTTCCTAGTTACCCTAGTGTAGCCACTAGGTCACAACCCAAGCTAGCTGAGCCGGAGAGACCCGGCTCTCCCCAGCCTTAAGATCTGTTAAGGATTTTGTTTGGATGCTACTGAAAGGGAAGATTTCTTTCTTGTCTTGAATTTTCTGTGTCTTTGTTGTCAGAACTCTATAATGTTCCCCCGCCACCCTTTCCCCTCTTGCTGTGGGTGAATAGATGCCCAGAGCAGAGTTTCAGACTTTTCAATGGCAGCGATAGGCCCTTTCATTATGCCTGGTAACCTGGAGCTGGGAACTTCAGCCGCGAAGCTTCTCGCCTTGCCACAAACAGGACTGCCCTCACGGCTGTTTGGGACACTTGGCCATCACTCTGAGAACAGCCGCAATTGCCACCGAGGCCACCTCATCTGCTCCAGCCATCCTTGCCTCAGACAACCTGATGATGTCAAACTAGGAGGGATGGAGGCTCTTTGTTATTGGGATTTTTGAAACATGCAGTTTTCACCGTTTGAGCTCCATTTGCTAGGTGAGCAATGCTGAAGGTCCAGTTCCCAGCCAGCTTATTGGTACAAAGCTGCACTTGTAGCAATTAGAAAAATATGGCAGCTCTTGCACAGTACTGAATAACAACAGAAAACCACCTGCAGGAACACGGGTTCTGGCTTTAAGGGTTTCAGTTGTACCTGGACACCCTTTTTGTGCTCACTTTTTACCCATATAGACCTCCCCTCCCCCAAACACAGACTTTTTCTTTTGCTGGTCATGGGGCCTGAACTTTGGGCCTGGGCGCTGCCCCTTAGCTCTTCAGCTCAAGGTTAGCGCTCTACCACTTGAGCCACAACACCACTTCCAGCTTTTTCTGCTTATGTAGTGCTGAGGAATCAAACCCAGGGCTTCATGCATGCAGGGCAAGCACTCTACCACTGAGCCACTTTCCCAGCCCCCAAACACAGACTTTTATATTACTCAACTCTTCAAACCAAGTGTGTTTGCAATAGTACATCTGGCTAATATTAACCATTTGGGATGTAGAAGCTGATATTCCCTAGTTGCTTAAACAACCTCCTAGAGTTCATTGTGGTCCTAAATAGCTTTATTGAAAACTTGAACCCAGTGAAACTCTAGTATTTTCAGATTGCTCAACACTTTAAACTAGATATATGTGTAAGAGTTTATTTGGCTAACACAAACCATTTGGGATTTAGAAGCTGATATTACCCCCAAATTTAAACAAGCTCATAGAAGTCAATGTGAACTGAAAGAGCTCTTGATAGTATTTTAATATGACTATATCTTTACCCCCAACAAAATGTCCAATTCTAGAAGCTATGCCATAATTTCCAACAATCTCCACGGTTAAAAATAACTAGTACAGAAAATTATCATACTATTTATGTTTGCTAAAATAAAAATATGGATTTGAAAATTATTTAATTTGTTGTTCAACTATATAGCATTAAGAAGAGCAGAGCCATTCTGATCTGTGTGCTCACTCCATGCCTCCATAGATACAGCTCCACTGGGAAGCTGTAAATAGTTAACAAGCAGGTAGGTGGATTAGCCAGAGCCTAGGGCTATTGGAAAACGAATGGGAAGGCATTGCTGAAGAAAATTTGGAGAGCGGACCAAGAAAACCGCATGTTTCAAAAATCCCAATTACGAGGAACTAGATGTCCAGCCTCCATCTCTCCTAGTTTCACATCCTAAATTCTATTAAGTCTCTCTATAAGGGGCAGGGAAGATAGGAGATGGATGGGCAGGGATGGACCTGATAGAGGACTACAGTTTCAGGTCCACAGTCTCTGATTGGTGGGTGTCTTGTACCTCATTTGCATAGGGTGTGACTAATGAGAGTGAGCCCCTGGGGATTAAAACCTCTAAACCCAACCACCTTTCAAGCAACCTGTCAGGAGCTGCCATTTGCCTGGTGAGAGCCTTTGTCTTTTTGGTAAGTAAAATCCTATTCCCTTTTAGTCACTTTTTGTTGTCTGTGGGTTTCAATCAACCAGTATCACCACTTGTCCAGTTATTTCCCACTTCATGTATATCAGCTTGTAGTGTTTTTGCAACAGATGCGTATTTCTAAATTGTTCTTAAAAAGAAGTCTGCTGCAACATATGCTCTTTGTGAGGAAAATGACATGGAATATTATTATAACTGGTAACTAGTATAAATGATATGGTGAGGAACAATGTGCACTGTCCCACTTAGTACTTAGTGTAAATATAATATTTGATTATACTTTTAGTAAGGATGGATATCTGGAATTCAGTGTCTTTTTTAGGTCATATTAAGAACGAATGTATTATGTAATGTGTTTGAATAACATTATTACAAACTTTTGCCAAAATTATAGTGTACTTTTAGAACTTCCAGAAGTTGAAGGAGGGTATATTTGAGCAAAAAGCAGGACTGGTGGGAATTCCTTTTCTTTGATAACTTATTAAACTTTTGCCATCCAATATCACATGAAAAGGATACCATTGTTTATATATTTAAGCCAGCTGAACATGGAAACAAATATTGTCTGACTTTTCATTAAGTGTATATTCATAAATTAAGAATGGAGACCCTTGCTGAAAAAGTGCCATTTTCTGGTTTGAGATATCAGAGAATAGAATTTGGAACTGGGAAAAATGGACAAAAATCAAACAGCTGAAACCTATCAGGAAAGGAACTGCAGAGAAGTGAGCCTTATCTGTATATTATGTCTACCTAAACCTCTGGCTGCCTTGAAACAAACAATAGATGAGGTATATCTGGTGGCCTGACAAAGTAGAAAAGCCAAGATTTCATGTACTTCTCATATACAGGGAGACAAAGTTAGGATTTTGCATATAGCCAGATGGGCTTGTTTATAGGAAGAACAAAACAAAAATCATTCAATACAGAAGTAGAAAAGAATCCCAAGTGCCTACAATATATCGTTTACAATATCTAATTGTCCTTTAGAAATTACTAGACATATACAGAAACAGGAGAATATGACCAATAGTTGAGAGGGAAAAATCATTATTAATTGATGCTTAAATGGCCAAGACATAATTAGTAGATAACTATTTTCAAGCAGTTATTATAGTAGACATTTACTTATATTTATATTTTATGCATTAAAAGATGTAACAGTTGGGGCTGGGAAAGCAGCCCAGTGGTAGAGTGCTTGCCTTACATGCATGAGGCTCTGAGCTCGATTCCTCAGCACCACATAGGAGAAAAAGTCAGAAGTGGTGCTGTGGCCCAAGTGGTAGAGTGCTAGCCTTGAGCTGAAGAGCTGAGAGACAGTGCCCAGGCCCAGAGTTCAGGCCCCATGACTGACAAAAAAAAAAGATGTAACAGTTGATGTGTACATATGAAGGAATGGATGGAGAACCCAAGCAGAGATGTTAAAGCTATAAAACTCAAAGCAAATATAAATAAAAGTGAAAGTATAATGATTGGAATACAAACTTATTAGATGTCCTTAACAGTTTGTTGAAGGCAGAACAAATTGATGAATTAAAAACTGTTATGCCAGAAACAAAAGCAACAGAGCAACAGCTGAAATGCTGAAAAGCAACAATTTGTTAGCTCCAAATATATCCTGAAAAATGTATTCTTCAACAATAAGGGGGAAAGAAGATTTAAGATACACTTGTAATCCTATCTATTCAGAAGACTGAGATCTGGATGATTGTGGCTTGAAACCACTGAGGCAGAAAACTCCATGAGACTTTATTTCCAAAATAACCAGCAAAAAGCTGAGTTGGAGGTTTGACTCAGGTGGTAGAGAACTAGCTGTGAGCATAAAAGCTAAAAGAATGTAAGTCTCTGAGTTCAAATTCTGGTATTAGCAAAAGTAAAGTCAGAATTTGCCACCAGCTAGCCCACATTATGAAAGTGCTACCTGGAGCTCTTTAGGCAGAAGGCGTGAGATGCCAGGTGGGATCCTATCTGGAGAAGAAGGAGCAATAGCAATGGCTAATACAAAAACAAAGACTAAAACCCACAAGGACTGACTCAAAAGGTAGAGCTCCAGACTAATTACCTACGGCTCTGTGTTCAATTCCTGTTACAGTCCCCCCAAAAGTTTAATAAAATAAATCCCTGTAAAAGACATACATTGTCCACATCATATCTAAAAGAAGAAATATTGTATAGGATCTAGATAAATCAATATTATAATAAGGGAATTGTGTGAGCAACTTCATGTAAACACATTTGACAACTTAGAAATGGACAATTTTTTTGAAAAACACAGAAAATACAAGAAAGTTAAATTCTAAGTAATGTTGTATTTAAACAACGAAATTGGGTTGTCACTAAAGGTGTCCCCAAAAGTAAAGTCCAAGAATAGGTTATTTTACTGGTGATTTCTGTTCACTATTTAATGAAGTGATACTGTTAGTATTATTCCTACCTTTGGTCCTTAGCTTTTCCTAGACCTGATCTCCTCCCTGCCCTAGAGTTCCAGCCATACAGCTGGCCATTCCCTCTCTCTGCCCGACCTTCTTTGCGCTCACTCACCTCACTTCCGCC